TTGATTTAATTGACCCTCAGATTTCAATTAGTTTTTTTTTAATATCCCAGTTAATCAAAGTTTTACCTTCTTTGAACTAAATTTGATCATTCTTCTAAATATCCTCTGTGTCCTTACTGTGTGCAGAGATGGGTACAATCAAGGTAAAGTGTCCCTCTAACCCCAAAGTTCTTATTTTCCTTAACACCACTATATTTTCCCTCTGGATAATTTGGATATTCAAGAAAAAAATAGTTTAATTTAATTTTTATTTGTTTTGTTAATTAAGACTATATTAAATTACATAGAAATTAGCTGATTTGAACATTTATTTTTAATTTTGCAATTATGGCTTATTAAATGTAACATTTTGCTAATCTAGTTATTTTTTAAATTTCTTTTTAATAATAGTTGACATACAGTGTTAAATTATTTTCTGGTGTACAACAGAGTAATTCAACATATATACCTTGAAAAAGGATCTCTACCATAAGTCTACTACCCCCTGACACTGTACATAGTTATACTGATATTAATGACTCTGTTCCCTATGTGGTACATTATAGCCCCATGATTTATTTTATAACTGGATGTTTGTAGTTCTTAATACCCCTTCCCTTTTCTGCTCAACCTCCTACCCTCTACCTTTCTGACAACCATCAGTTTGTTCTCTGTATCTATGGGTTTGTTTCTTTTTCATTTGTTTTGTTTTTTAGATTCCACATAAAAGTAAAATCACATGGTATTTGTCTTTTTTTGTCCAACTTATTTCACTTAACATAATGCTCTCTAGCTCCATCCTTGTCATAATCACAAGATTTTATTCCTTTTTTATGGCTAACTAATACTCCATTGAATGTAATTTGTTTTTACACTTGCAAGATCAAGGACAAATTAAAGAGAAAATCATAGATAATTTAGGCCAACAAAGAACTTGGGCAGGACAATGTGTATATTGTTTTTCCTTGTGTAAGTGGTGACTAACACAGTGTTTGGCATGTAATACAGTCAATAATCATCTGTAGAATAAATTTGTGAATAAAAAAGAATTTGAAACATAGATAAAGGTTTTTTTATGAACATTTTAATAATTGGTTTTGTTGGAGTGGCCAATGGAGGTAGGGCAATGAGGTGGTGGAGGTCTTGATTTCAATAGGTTATTTGAAATTTGATTCACCTGTCCACTTCACAGCTTAACTGAAGAAAAAAGTCTGTGTATTAACTTCACTTTTCCTAGGGAGATAATACAGTTCTATTATTTAAAAAGTACTATTTTGCTGAAGGACTTCTTATAATTCAAAGGAGATTTTAAAAGTAGCCCAGAAAACTTATTATCCAAAATTGTGTCATAGTAAATGTACATGCATTTAAATTCCTGTAGCTGAGACCTATGCTGCTTACTGACTCTGCTATAAGGATGCTCTGCTCGGGGTCACGATCTTGTCTGAACAAGAACTCACAGGAGCAGTCAGTCCCTCAAGAAGAAACCAGATCTCCTGACGAAAAAACTCCCTACAATGTTTGTTTCAAATGGTTCTGTTCCATTATAGCTGGAGGAATTTTTCAGACAAAACATTAAATTAGAAGTCAATTAAGAAAGCCAAAACAGTCTGACCACCATACCCCTGTCTTCATGGGGGATTTAGAAGGACTGAGTGACTGCTAGTAGTGTGTGGTCCTCAGGTTCTGAACACTTCCACCCCGTATGACAATTAGGTGACCCTGGAAAAATCTAGAGCCTGAACAGCCACCTTTTCTCTTAAGAAAGGTCTTCAGAACATGAATCTTGAGGATGAAAAGAGAAAGTTTTTAGATGAAATAATTTTAGTGGGTGGAATCAGTGGGCTCTCACTCATGTGAAGATTCTTAAGGTGGAATTGCTATAGGTTTCATTCAATGTGGTGTGTGTGTGTGTGTGTGTGTGTGTGTGTGTGTGTGTGTTCCACACCAATAAAAATGACATGCCTTTCCTTTATTTTCTTGGACAATGTCAGGGGAAAAAATAGGTTACATAAATGCAAGACATTTAAACCTATCTGTGAAAATTGGATAATGCAATCACAGCTATCTCTATTTTAGGAAAATGGATTTCTGAGAAACAGTAGTAGAAGTCAGGTCAAGGTGTAATGCAGTATATACTTTTTAAAATGTATTCTGAGAAAAAAAATGTTAGCCACAATAAATATACCTGCTACTTTTAAAAATGAAATCCCTCACACCTTTCTAATGCCTATCCTTTTATGTAGCAGATAACATTCCAAATGGCTATAGCCTTTATTTTGAAAGAAAGCTTTGGGATTATCTAATTGAGTGAAAGAGCGTTCGAGCCCTTTTAAGAGCTCGGCACCTGTAGACAAATGTAGATTTTATTTGTAAGCAAGTCTTTTTTAATTAAAAAATAATAGGAGCAATAAATGAGCTCTTCCAAACTGATATCAGCACAGCACCCTTGGCCTAGACCAGGGGTGGGCAAACTTTTTGACTCAAGGGCCACAATGGGTTCTTAAACTGGACCGGAGGGCCGGAACAAAAGCATGGATGGAGTGTTTGTGTGAACTAATATAAATTCAAAGTAAACATCATTACATAAAAGGGTACGGTCTTTTTTTTTTTTTTTAGTTTTATTCATTTCAAACGGGCCGAATCCAGCCCGCGGGCCGTAGTTTGCCCACGGCTGGCCTAGACATAGGCTGTAGGTTGTGGGATGAGAGAAGAACACCTGCTTCCATCTGCTAGAGGTCAAATCCAGAGAATCACAGTAGCCTTGTGGACATTCCAGATAGATAGCTGCATAGCCCCCAAACGCAGAGCTTTATTGATTGAACTACACTTGAGTGGAAAATGTCACACATACGGTAAATGTGCTATTAGAGATGCTCTGGAACTATTTTTTTCTGTTGTCAGTATTTTGCACAAACAACATTCCATGTGGCCATATCAACAGATCTGTGTAGATTGCCTTGCAGTGTTTAGACTTTCAGACTGGTATTGTGATCTACACTGCAGAAAAAAGTTTGGCATAATTAGAAAAATCAAGGATGTTGCATCCCAGTGTAGAACCTCTTGGTCTGACATAGAAGAAGTGTATTATATACAGCAGGGCTTCAAATAACATCGCTTTGTTCCATGTCGTGTTATTATAACATTGATGAGGAAAAAATATTGAATCCTGGCCAGTGTCACTCTGTGTGGTATCTGCCATTGTCCCATGTCTGTGTGGGTGTTTTTCTGGGGATCCTAGTTCCCCCTGCATCCCAAAGATATGCATGTGAGGTGAACTGGTGTGTCTAATTGTCCCAGGCTGCCCTTGACCCTGAACTACAATAAGTGGGTTGGAAGGGAATTCTCTTACTTGTTTTCATTAATCTTTCTTAAATGTCTGTATAGCTCACATTTCTTTCCATGCTTAGTATTAGAAGGATTTGCTTCTTTATTTAGAAGTTTGTGATGTTTTTGTGATGAGAAAATATGCCATAGGAACGTAACTTGTGTTTATAGCAATTAACCTATGGCAACATTGGTTTCCTTGCATTCCCTTTCACTTAAGTTCTCATTGTCCAAGAACCTATTGACAACATTAAGTGAGGACTTCTGTACATATATTTAGTGTTTTTATATATAGGCATCAGATATTTGGTATTTCCAAGCCCAGCAATTCTGTACAAATGGCGCTCCCTGAAATTGTGAAACCTGGTGGTCTGGTTCAGGACAGGAATTCTAATGCTTTTGGGGGTTGTGGACTCATATTTGATGAAAGCTACAGATCTTTTCCCTAGAAAAAATATTTTGATTTTCCCACTAGCCCTATGCATGTAAGGATTGTGAAAATAAAGAATCTAAAGCTAAGTCCTCATTTGGCAGAATTGGTCATTGATCACATGTTCGTTTGACTCCATGCTCAGCCTCTTCCCCCATACCATAATCCTTCTGTTTCCACAACGAAGCCATTGTCGAGCTCACGCTGGCCTACTTTGTCAGCCTGATCTCTTGCTCCTTCTCCCGTGCATCCTGAGTAGATGCCACACTGCATTACTCACAGTCGTGTCATGCTGACCTGTGAACACGCTTTTCCTGCTGCTCTCTGAACATCCCTCATCATCTGCCTCACTACCTCAAGACTCAGCTCAAAGGTCACCTTTTTTAGGAAGACTTTCCAGCCCTCTTTCCTGCTGCCTCCATCCTCTTAGATCCCCCTCCTTTACACTACCATTGCACTCTGCATTCCTCAGTCATAATTCCACTTACCACGCTACACTGTAATGGATGCCAACTTGTCTACTCTTTTACTATTTCAAGGGCATATATTGTGTGTGTGTGTGTGTGTGTGTGTGTGTGTGTGTGTGAGAGAGAGAGAGAGAGAGAGAGAGAGAGAGAGAGAGAGAGAGAGAGAGAGGGAGAGAGAGAGAGAGATTTGGCTGAAGTATTGAGAGTGATTCAAAAAAGTAATTTTTTTCTTCCCAGCATCAGATATAGCCTCTTGTATCAGTGTGAAGATATATTTTTCTCCTAAAGAAATCTAACACATGCAATATTAATAGAGCCATATGCTAGCCCTCTCTCAGTACTATGGATCCCACTGATAACACTGAAAAATGTATTCTTGTTTCAAAGGAATAACATGACCCCATTTCTCTGATCATGAATTCATGTTTTACTCCTTAGCAATACAGTTCTATTTTCTTGATGGCTTAAGAAGAGAACATCTTATAAGTTAATTTTTTAACTACAATTTTCAAAGTAATTTAAAAGCAGTAACAGAATTTGAATATAATAAGAATTCCTGCTATCTTTTATATATATTGATATATATTAATATTATTTTACTAAGCACATAATAAACAGAAATCAGCATTACAGAGATGAATAAAGACTGTTAAACAAGCAAGTATTTCTTTATAAAAGAGAATATAGTAGGAGGGCAGGGGTTAATGGAATTCTTGTTTTTTCCTTTATAGTACAAGACCTCATTTTATCACACACTGAAAATATTACTGCTACTTAAATGTCTGTTTCTCCCCCAGGCCAAATTTACAGATGACTGCAAGTTCAGGGAGCGATTTCAAGAAAACAGCTACAACACCTATGCCTCAGCAATACATAGAACTGAAAACACGGGGCGCGAGTGGTACGTGGCCCTGAACAAGAGAGGGAAAGCCAAACGGGGCTGCAGCCCCAGGGTAAAACCCCAGCACATCTCCACCCACTTCCTGCCAAGGTTCAAGCAGTCTGAGCAGCCAGAACTCTCTTTCACAGTGACTGTTCCTGAGAAGAAGAATCCACCCAATCCTGTCAAGCCAAAGGTCCCAACCCTTACTGCGCCCCGGAAGAGTCCCAACACAGTGAAATACAGACTCAAGTTTCGTTTTGGATAATGTTCCTCTTGGCCTTGTGAGAAGCCACAGACCCCCCTCAGGAGTTTCCACAGGTGTCTTTACAGCTCTGGAGAAAAATGTGGACACAGCTTCAGCTCCACTACACCGCAGGGAAGTCAGGTCATTTGTTTCAGTGGGACTGAAACAAAAATGTTTGCTGGCAGGTACTGAACTGGAATTCTTTGTACGGATACAGGGAGCACACTGCCTCAGTTCAGCAAGACAGGAAGCTTTTTGCTTTATGCTTAGTGCATACTAGGACTCTGTTTACAAGAAGTTAAACAGTGTGGACGATGTATTTTTCTGACTTTTATAGATCAACCCAAAAGAACATACATGACATGTGTTTATTTTTTTGTTTGTGTGTGTGTGTTTTTTTTTTGGTTTCTAAAGAATATTTTGATGCAGATAAAATATTTTATTAACTTTTGTTTTTGTGTTTTTTTAAAAAAGTACCTCTGCATTGAGCATATTTTCTTACTTTTATTATTTTAATTAATGTGACATAAACAACCATTTTAATGAATTATAAGTGTGTTTATAGCCCATATGTAACGTGAATTTCTTTTTCATTTTCCTTATTCACTGCACTTTTTATTTTTATTATATATTTTTATCATACCTCAGATAATGTAAGTTTAGTTCTACATCTTAAAATGTTTAAATTTTCTTCAGTACACCAAAGGCTCAGCTTGGATTTGTGTGTGTGTGTGTCTGTGTGTATGTGTGTGTGTGTGCGAGTATATGCATTCATGACATGTGGAATCGTCCCCCTTTTGTGGCGGGGCTATAATGGGTTAGAAGTAAGGACATTTTGATGGGATTAATAGTTGGAGATAAAGAAGAGGATTAGAGGTACAATTATACTAAGTTTGCAGCATTTATTGAGATCTAATTCTGCCCTGACTTCATTTCTCCTTTCATCTACTCCCTGCCCTCATTCTTGAGCAGCTGGAGGAAAACATTTTATTCTGTCCATCAAGCATACACTATGAAACCGGAGTACTTAAAACACCTCCTCTATGACCCTCTGCCATCCCCACTGTATAGATCCACGGGGAGCAACCCACTTACCGGAAACACAGGGACAACTGAAGGAGATGAATCGTGTGACAGTTATTCAGGTCCAGTCCCATTGTCAAAAATATTCGTATTACTCAGTAGAACACTCTTTAAGTTTCCTATCCTAATGGAAATTATTCCAGTGAATAGATTTGCTCTTTTATAAGGAAAATTTCTGATGTATATTTTTAAAAAGCCAGCTGTGTGATATGGGGAACTTAATTTGGGAATTTGATAAATTGAAAAACGGCATTTAATTGTCAAGCCAAATACTGAGTGTTGGGCATAAATCAGAAAATTTGGCTTAAGAGAGTTTACATTATTTATTTATTTTCTTAGGTAATCATTTTTATGGAGTTCTATTGTATACAAGTGTTTATCTTCCAAAATATTGCAATAAAAAGGTATAGCTAATGTTTAGAAGTATGTCTTTCATAGAAAGAGCAAGAGTTCACAGGAGGTTTGTGGTTTCTATTTAAGCTTGCTTCTTTTCTTTTAAAGAATACTGATAATCTTTCTAAAAAACAAAGTATACTTTATTTTGGTGCACAAATGCAAAGTGGAAACTTGTCAAAATTGAACTTACTACAATTTAAGCAGCTTGCTTTGTTTTAATAAGACAAACTATACCCACATATGTGTAATATAAATAATTATATACAAAATCCATCCATCAACTAAAACATCATGCATATACTCTAGTATAGTGTTTTATTATAAAGCCAATAATTTAATTGAACATTCTCTGAATTTAACGCATGATTTTAAAAAATATAAAATGAATTACCAAACTTTATGTTAAAATTCTCCTTGGTTAATGAAACAATGGAAATTTGCAAACAAAGATATGTCCAACTCTTATCCAATTTCCATATCACTTTATATCACAGTAGTATAAAGCTAAATATAATACTCTAGTTTATTCCAATTTTTGTTAAGAATTGTGCACTGTATATCAAGTTCTTAGTACACATAAAAATTAAAGTTGTAGAGCAAGAGAACAGTAGACAAGATGATATTAATGATGATTAATAACCAAGTAAATTAATGCAAGGCATATATTGCATTAGGCTAATGTTGCTGATAGTTTATGTTAACTAAAAAATAATAGCTTATCTTGTACCCCTAGTTTGATTTGATTAGTAAATGAAGGTTAAAGTAAGATAGCTACCACATATATATTATGCAAGTCAGGACTCATTAATTTCAAAATTTAGCACCAAGCTAAAAATTTAAAAAAGCACCTTTAAATTATACTTACCTTTAATTTACTGGCCATACATAATTACATTTAATTAAAGCTCACTGAAGCAAAAAGTACCTAAATTAATTAATTGAATGAACTCATCATGTACAGAAAACATGTAGAAATATGATTCCTTACTAATAACTAGAACTTTCTAAGGGGGTCCGTATGTGGTTTTTCATGAGTTTTTAAAGTAACTGGACCTATCTGACATCAAATAAAGTTGTTTAATTGTGATTATGTTCATCTAAAAATGTCAGTGAATTTTACATTAAAATTTAGGTACCTAATTTGCCTAGAATATTGATGAGAGACACTTTCACACTGATATTTCAATTTAATTATATTATGTTTAAGTTATGATATTCTTTATTTGGAACACCAGTAAAGGCAAGTAATATTTTTAATAAGATATATAACACTGTGGATTTTATTTCACAAAATATAACATCCCTTCCTTCTACTAATTTGAGAGTGTGGATACGTAAAAATTACCTTTGTTCTTTTAGCTGAGTTATAGAGGCCTAGCAATTCAAAATCATGTGACAACAATAGAGGATCCTAACAAAAGTTATTTCCGAATTTAATAATCATATCATCTTAGATGCTTTTATTTCATGTGGTTGAAAATAAAATCATAAATCTGATCGATAAATTTCTATAAAATTGATCTTGAAATAAAAACTTGAACAATTTTCTTACTTTAACATTTTTTAGTCTTCCAAAGGAAACAGCAACTAAGCTATGACTTCACACATTTTCAATAACAAAATGAAAATATTGCACTAAGCCAAAACTTGAATTCTGGCCCCATTTTTACACTTGCAGAAAGTTGCACAGTAAATTTGAAAAATAAAAGCAATATTATAGAAATGACTGTAATGCGAAGCAAACAAAAATAACTTATCAAAGGAATTCTTTAATATCTACTTCATTGCTACATTTAAATTTTAATCATGTAAAATCAATTTTAAGCCAATTGATCTTTTAAAAATTTTTGAAAGAAACTTTTAGATAAATGAACATGCCCCATAGTTTCTTTTTTAGAAGTCAGTCCAATTGCACTGACCAGTGTTTGAAATAAGATTATCAGATGATTAGGTGTTGAAGAAGTTACCTCCTACAACTTACTCTCTGGGAGGAAAGGGAGGAGAACCCAGCCTGAGCTGAGTCAGTGGGGGCATTTTTACATCTAAGAATCATATGCAACACTCAGACCATTGGACAATTAAGCTACAAGTCATCCATCAGTATTTCAGCAATTTTACGTAATATAAATATTAGATTAGATATCGAGTCCTTACTTTTTATTTTATTGTGTTGTGTCCTGACTCTGCCATATAATTATCACAAGTCACCTTTTAGGTCTTGCTTTGTCCTTCACCATATGATCTCCAATGTCAATTCCAGCTTTGAATCAATGACAGCGTAAGTCCCGAGTCTCAAAATGTTGAGGTATCCAAAAAAGGACATTATTTGTCTTCAGGTGAAACTGGATAACCACATGAAAAAAAAAAAATGTCAATGAAGCAATAAACATATTTGTAAAGCCTTGTCTTAGATTTTAAAAAAATTAGGTAAGAGTGAGATTATATCAAAAGATTTTAAAAATGAGGCCCAATTCCAGGCTTAGCATTTTATGAGGGACTTAATATATTTGAATTAATCAGGAGGGGAATGGTCAGAGTAATGTCATTATTAATAACAGTTCTAGAACCATAGTTAAACATGAAAGATTTGACCATCTCTATTTTGACTGAGATCCCACTCTATCCATAAACCTCCTAGAAATTCGTGAGGAAATATCAGTAATCTCATCTTGACACACTCCAAATAAGGATAGCTAGTAACATAACTTTCCACCACCCTTTCCACCCTTCCCTTCCCTTTCCAATAATTCAGTATTTTCTGAGTTCTTGCTCTGCACAAGGCACTCAGCTAGTGAAACATTCCTTGATTTGCTCAGAACTTGTTCACTCCATTTCTTGTGCATGTTAACATCAATGTACTCTCAGATTTTGAAATTCCAGAGGAAATATAGCTGTCCTCACCTCATTGCACATTGCCCAAACCAGGCTCAAGCTAATAAAAGGGACTTATGACATGCTCTTCCCTGATAGTAATTTTGAATGTATTCCTCTGACTTAAACACTCTGTGGCGGTATTGGATATGCTCCTAATTCACAGAACTGGGTCTGTAGTTATATTTATAGGTCCCTAGAATATTTTCGGTGTTCCAAAACGCTTATAGGATGGCTATTGGTGCTGAATAAAACTCATTTGAAGATGATAACTAAGATTAAGAGAATTTCATGTAAGATATGAAATGGCTCCTACAACAAGAATAAGAACACCAGGTAACCTCGTCACTGTATTTGGACTTCTCAAATGCAAATCCTGAGTCCAAACTAAAAATTTCAGACACTCATATTTTTGGAAGCTGCATTTAAGTATTCATAAATTAGCATATGAAACTTCAATTTCATTGTCAATCTTAAAAATAGGTGACTATGCAAATCCTGGTGATTTTGTCATTTGTAAGCCAAACGAGAAGTCCAGTGGGATGTCGGTAGACCTGAATGGGAAAGTGAAAACAGTTCTTTTTGGTCATATTTTTCTAGATGTGTTTTTTCCTTTTTTTCAGATACACTCTCTCAGGGAAGACTGCCTCTTTCTGTACCCTACAGAGAGATTAGTGAATGCATAATCACACAGTAACAGGTCCGGTTCCTAGGCGTTTCTCATTAAATTCTCTGTCATTCCCTCTGTGGGAAACTGGGAAACTTATCAGATTTTCATTCAGGGAGGTGAATTTCTGCTGAGGAGGCAACACAATGGCTTTTACTCTCCGAAGTGCAATTACAGCTGCTTTCCCAACAGTGCTTCCTTTTACCATAGGGTTCTCTCTGTAGGATGTATGTGTTCCATAACCTGACACAGCTTATATATTCACATTTTTTAAAGTTCACTAGTTGTCGTACATTCTGCTCAAAAAAGAGACCCTGAGAGTAAGCGGAATTGTTAATTGTACTAGAATATTAAATGTACCA